ACTCATATAATACTTGCTCTCGAGAGTTAGCTTTCGAACATAGGTTCTTTGGGGAGGACATAAACTCTTTTTCAAAAAATAATAACACCATTGTTTCTTCTTTTCTGTCTTCTGGCTGGTAAGTCCATCCGGCCATGTCATCACCAACAAAGAGTAAAATTGGATGTTTTCTTCCATGTACCTCTCCCCCCGCTGTTCTCCCTCCGACCCCTTCTCTGCTTCTCTACTCCCCATTCATTGAAAAGATGCTGCTTCTGCAGAATAAAATCGCTGTCTTCCTGGAGCTTACTGATCTTGGTGTCCACATGGCTGACGGCAGGGAGACTGGGAAAGGGAGGAAGCCTGTGGTGCTCAGACGCTTTTGCTGCAGACGGTAAATCCTGAACTCATCCTTTGAAAATTCGTTTGTTATGAACTTTTACAAGCGCTGATTTTCTTTTCTCGGGGGACTTTCTGACATTCTCCCCACACCTGTTGGATCACACTTGCAAAGCAGAATCCCGACAAAGAACCTCAGGGCACAACGCCTTCTAAACGGACTTCAGAGTTATTTCTATTGATTGGCTTTGGGAATCGCTGAAGCACAGAGAGGTTGGGCTTTTCACTGGAATTCACACTTCTTTGGAGTACATTTCAATGCTTCACTGAAAGTTGATTAGCAGGAAATGGCTTCCCAATGGTAACTGAAGACTAGAAAATGGGACTAAGAACTAAGAACTGCAGCCTTAATGCACAGGAGTGCATTCAGAAAGATCTGCATCTCCAGACACGTTGTAAATTCCTGTTACCTAGTTCACTGGCCTGGATCTATTTGTCCATTACCCAGCGTTACTCCCTCATCCCAAATTGGGCTCAGAATATACTCTGGACATCATGGAGCTCCAACCATAATTTACCAAGCTGTGTGTAAACTAATTCAAAACCTGAAGCCAATAACCATTAAGCCACTTAAAGAAAAATGGGGTGCAGGGAGGAGCTTGCGGCAAATGGAGGTTAACGATGGACACATCCATACGAAACCTGTCTTTGCGGAGCGACCAGTTCGCCACAGCTTTCGGAAAGATTATATTCCAAAGAGATGTGTACTTCAGTCCCTGAAACTTTCTTTGCTGAAGGTTGAAAATAGCTTCTAAGAGAATCAGGTGGAACAAAACACAAAGAATCGCTTTTAGGATAATTAAAACTATTTTGGACTTTTTTATTTATCAATCCAGTTTCTAATATAAGTTTAGTTAAATGAAAGACATTCACAAAGAATAGTAGGCATACATACATGATTTCCTTCTTTCATTCTAGTTTACATGCTGTTGCTTTCAGAGAGCAAAATTTCGTGTTATTTCACAGGGATGGAAGCCTAATTGACTTTACAGAAAGAATATTAGCCCAGCTTTTCACAACCCTAACCTCTGCAGTTCACCATGCTCACTGAAAAAACAAATAAACAAAAAGAAACCTGACAAGACAAAAAGTAGAATCAGTGACACTGAGAACTGTTTCTTGGCCTACCAGATGGGAGGAGTCTCCACGTTTCCATGACCATCTCAGGGTCCAGCAGTTGCTGAAAAAAACTGAGACTCAGAAAGTGGTGCAGCCCCTCTAAGTAGACCTGCTCTTAAAGCACATTTTCATCTGGAAAATAAACTCGTAAGTGCCTGCTGGGTATTAATACCCGTGTGCCCAGGTATCTCTATTACCTTTTGCTAGTCTTTGCTCCATGGGAGATAACCAACTTTTCAACACGGTTTCCCTGTTTCATGGATAATGAGTTTCACGAATCACTTGTATCCAAAAAATACTGCTGTGAAATAAATTTAAAGTTTCCAACATCATCATGCAGGGTGTGTGTAGTGTAGGCACAGGGCCATGGGGCTACGTGAAACAGTCGCATTTGCTTCTCAATGTTGTCTTATTTATAATCATACTGGGGCGTGTGTAAGTGACAAGTCACACCCAGGTGGGAACTTAGGGTTTTATACATGTGGCGTTTTGATTTCTCTGGCCTTTGGCTGTGTTGCATCTCCCAGTGTTGACGGATTAGCTCCCTGGCAGTCTACCTGATTTATAATCTAGTAATTGTACAGCACTGCTTCACGTCTCTACACTCCTGGACATGGATGCGTGGTTTCTTTGGATGTGACTTACAACCACGAGCTGGAAACTAAGTCTTCCCGTAGGTCCACTGACTTTGGCCTTTATATTTGGGTTTCAAAGTGTCCAGAGCCAAGAATCCACGGCACCGCACCATTGTCTCGGGAAGTGGATAAAACAGCTCTGCCTTACACATGAGGCGAAAAGGAACAGACGTTCAGCAAGCTGGCCAAGGTTACAGAGCACGTCAGGGAGAGAGAAAGGGTCAGCTCTAGGAATCACCTCTCACCAAAACATCATTTTAGAAACGGCACCTATCGGGTTTTAGCCCAGATCACTTAGAAACACTATTTGTTTCTCATCTATTTCAGGATGAGGTGGGACTAGCAAGTTAGACCTATTTTTGGCTGGCTCATCGGAATTCAATTTACTAATTGTTGCCTTTCTTTTTGAAAGCTGCTTGGTAGGATGGTGAAAAGGAAAAAAAAAATAGTAAGAGGTTCCAATCAGGTGCTAATCATTAGTTTGGAGGTGTGAGACATCAAGGGACCATGAAAACGTTTACACCAAAAGAGAAAGGACAGGGCGAAAAAGAACGTGTGGAAGAACAGAGAAGTACAGCTCCTGTTATAGAAGGAACTGATAGTTTCATCCCGACGCTACACTGACACTGCATTTTCCTAACGGTAGCTGTTAGCTCTTCCTTTGGAGCTTTCTATGGTCTGTGTCTTTGTGCCCAGCTCTCAGTGCCATCTGGTGGCTGCCCCACAGATGTTCAACGACAACGTTAAGATCCACTCGGGCTCACGCCAACTCTCTTTCCTGTGACTCTGAAATCCTGCTCCTCTTAGTAAAGGATGCTGATTTGTCAAACACGGAGCAACAGGAAATTTTCCAATAAAGGCTCTCAAACTTTTATCCCCAGATCCTCAATAAAATCTCCCACACAACAGGTCTCTCTCTCACACCTTTTTTTTTTCTTTTTTGAGCAGATGTTTGAAAGCCACAAGGGAAATGTCTTATATACTATGAAGGGCCAGAGAAGAACTTAAGAATATAACCTCTTACCTCCTGAGCTAGCATCCTTGAGCTCAAGGGAGCACATTGAGAGCGCAGATGGGGACTGATTTTGCATTCATTTGAAGACCCCAATCCTAGCAACTCAAAACAGAGATGCTTGCTTTATACAGGGAGGATGTTTCCTGCACAAACAACCCGAAATCAACTGTCAGCTTCTCCTGCAACTTGAAAACCACCTCTTATTTAAAGAAAACTTTTTGTTTTTGTTCTGATTCTTTTATTATTTAAAGGGACTACCACTAGCCTCTTTGTGCTTGATTGGTAAGGTATCCGGTTATAGGACACCAGGCTTTTGCAGGATATGACTGACAAAGCAGGACTGGGCCCTGAGCTTGGGTCATAATGTCATGGCTGCCTGGGGAGCTGGAAAAAAGAGCTGTCTTCTTTTCTGCACATAAAACAAAATTATTTAGCATTTAAGAAGGTACTGTATGTGGCCTTCACAAATAACTTTAGGAACTTGGGTGAAGACTGCAGTCCCAAAGAGAAGATGTCCAGCACGTATTCGGCCCATTACTAATACCTCATCCACTTTTTCTGTGTCCTGTCCGTTGGCTGGGCTGTAATCGCCTTCAGGGCAGAGGCCGTGTCATGCGTCTGTAAATCTCAAACGATGCTGAGGTGGGAGAAACACGGGTCCCCGCGGTCACCCCGGTGCCCTAGGTTTGAAAATCTGGGGAGAAGTGTTAGGTTTTATTTTTCACTTTTTATGGCAGGAAAAAGAAAAGAAGACAGAGAAGAGAAAGGGTGAGAACATTTCAGTATAAGGGGCTATGTTTGACTGTTTTAATTTCTTAATCATTTTGGAAAGAAAGGGAAAGGGCTCAGACAATGTATAAAGAATAAAGCTCTCATGGCAAATGCAATAAATAATAAATTTCCACCTGGTGCTATTTGTTAAGTGCAAAAGTAATACCTATCAAACAGGTATTAAGAAATCAGAAACATTTTTAAACATAATGTTTAAAATTTGCTCTTTCATTTTGAAAATATATAAATGAATCCCTTAATGGTAGTCATCTTGGTCAAATAAATAACCTTTATTTTCAATATGTCATTTGTAAATGTTATGTTGTTCTAATATTTGGTCGTTAATAAATGCGTTTCATGGTAAATGCATTTTATGGAAGGATGATCAAGACCTTTTTAAATAAAGGGTGGTTATGACAGTGCCCGAGGTCAGCAACTGTAAAAGGGCGCTAGGCTTCTCTTTTGTTTTATGACCTTCACTTGAATGTGAATTAACTGGTCCACTGTCTCCTTTTGTCAGGCACTGGTGCCATGTGCAGCTCTGGATAACATTTTCCATCACTCAAGAAACTGAGGTCCTCCAATAAGTCAGGCATCCCGAGTACCCTGAAAATATAACCCAAATGAACTAGAATTTCCATTTTCTCCAGGCAGGCCAACAGAACAGTAACATCAGTACCTTTTTACCCTCATCTCACCTCCTTCCAGGGGGAGAAAGAAAAAAGGGCTATTTAATTCCTCAAAATGCTGGAGTCTAAAAAAAATTTTTGAGGTACTTATTAAGTATAACAGCCTGAACTATAAGGTTCATAAATGGTAGTCATTCTAGAAATAACTTTTGTGTCACCTTCTTTTAAAATAAATAAATGAAATTATTTTTTGGATCCTCCGGTAGGAGCATTGTCCCACCTGCCTACACACACAGTCGATTATTTTTAAATAAATAGTTACTTGCTGGAATTAGTTGATGAAGGTTCCTGATTAAACTGAGGTCTGCTTGACCAGACATGTCCATTCTCTGAGAGGCAATAATCAGTTACCAGGTTGTGATGAACCTGAGATTCAAATGGATCTGCCAAAGAAGGCCCCTGAATCATGGCAGTGTGTCTGTTTAGGATGGAACAATACATGGAAGTAGATGAGTTAAAATACGGCAGCGTGTTCCACATGATTCCAGAGTAACAGCAATAACAAAACTAGCAGTCACAACTTGGCTTTATTTTGGTTCATCCATTCAGAGGACACTGTCTGCTAGGATCTTGTCCCGGGGCTTAAAGACTAGAGATTTAAAGCAAAATAAGAAGACCAACATAATTTATGCATTTACTAGGAAGCATCCGTACTCTTGCTACCAACTATAAAAGAAACAGAGCAGACAAGTCTTAACATCTGGCTCTAATTCCCCACTGAGGTGCTTACACACACATACAAGCTAACCCAATATGTTGTAGGTAAAGCAGAGGGAAAATTTTTTTGTAACAGCTGGTCACCAGGTATCGTAGCTGATAGTTACAGACACTGGATAGGGCTAAGACTGCAGACGTGGAACAGTATTATCTTGCAGAATCTGATGAAATATAAAAGCAACGATCCCAACAGGAAACTGCTTCCTCGGTTCTGAAAGCTGCTCTCGGTTGTACTGATCACACGTTGTCACACAAGAGGGGCCACACCCCCTCTTCCTCCAGCTGTTTCTGGTGGGAACTCTCAGAGAGCTGCACAGACTGAGGTCTCTTTGAGAACTGTCACATCATAGGTTCTCTCTGCCCCATCTCTCCTTTTCCAATTCACAGGACACCAAAAGAAATATTACGTGAACACGAACTAGTTACTACAGTAGCCCGTTAGAGGCTGACTCTATGTAAAAGGAAGAAAATGCTGGAAGTCATGTATACTGCGCATCAGCTTTTCTCAAGAAAAAATATCCCCATTCTAAGGGCTCTGAAAAATGTAGGAAGCTTGCCCTGTTACCATGGGTTTTTAGAACACCTCTAAACACACACAAAATAAGACAGGTAGTACCTACAAGTTTCAACCACTGCTTAAACTCTAAAAGCATTTTTTGTATTATTTTGTTTTGATACAGAAGGGGAAACTCAGCTATAAATAAATATCAGAAAGTATTTCTTGTGGCCGTCAGTCTCAGGAGTTTTCTGTCGCTTGCCTCCCCCAACTTGTGCTAATATTTGTAGGATGTGCTCAGGAGTACGAAGTAGGGTGCTTCTGTCCCTTGCCCTCCTCCCCAGTCACTCCCCCTGCCCTCATCCCATCACCAAAGAGCCGCCCCTCAAATGAGCCATTCCTTTTTGCTTTCGTCAATGGTCTCTGTGAAGTTGGGGTCGTTGCTCATGATGGCGGCGTCCGCGCTCTCTGCCGACTCTGCTCCCTTGGCCTCGTTGGTGTGGTAGGTGCCCTTGTGACGGAACATGTACCGGATAAGGAAGACCAAGGTGCAGAGGATGGTGAAGATTACCACGGCAATGACCCCTGGTGGAGACAGCAGAGGGACTAGAGGTTAACCAAATCCTGTATATCACGCCAACACTTTTCCCCTGCTTCACCATCGTTCCCTCAAGTGCTGCCCTCTCCCATTCGAGACACAGAACCCCACAACGACAACAACAATGTGGGCTAACAATGCTGCCTGCCATACCAGTAAACAAAGGATGTTGCAGCAGTCAGCCACTAGAGCTGCCCCAGGTGGGGAGCCCTGAGGGAACTCAGGGTGAGAAAGTGCAGGATACTGGCCCCAGAGAGCTGAGGTGCCTGTCGAAGGAATGATTTCAGTGAGCCCAGACTCTTGCATCTCCCCATAAATGGAAAAGCGCTAAATTCCTTAACTTGAGATGTCTGTTTTTCTTTAATGAATAGTAATCTTTTGATGTTCCGACTACCTGGTCTTTGTTGCAAAAACTCCTCTGTATCCTGGCTCCCCCTGTCTCTTTGAAGCAGCCCCTCAGAGTTATCTGAGATGCTGTGTGCTGAGCTTAAGTCCTCAGTTTTGTCCACTGGATAAGACATAATTCTCAACTTCTAGGCTATGCATTTTTTTTCAGTCAACAGCAACAACAAAAACTAACAGAACTGAAAGGAGATTTAGACCAAATCACAATTATATTTGGAGATTTCAACATTCTTCTCTTAGTAATGATAGAACAATTAAACAGAAAATCAGTAAGAATTTAGAAGACCTCAAAAACACTATTAACAAACTTGATCTAAGGAAGCAATACCAATCCTACACATATGTTTGGAAATAGAGGAGAAGGATATACCACTCAACTCATTTTATGAGGCCAGCATTATACTGACACTAAAACCAGACAAACACATTATAGGAAAAGGAAATGATGGAGCCATATACCTTCTTAATAAAATTTTAGCATCGAACCCAGCAATAGGTAGAAAATAATATATTATGACAAAGTGGTGTTAATTCTAGGAATGTAAGATTGATTTAATATTAAAAAATTAAGCAGTGTAATTTACCACATTAAACAAATAAAGGAGAAAAACCATATGATCATCTTAACAGATGCACAAGAGCATACGACAAACGTCAATACCCATTCATCATGAAGCCTGTCAGGAAACTATCAAGAGAAAGACACTTTTCAACCCGATAAAGGGCATCTCTGAGAAATCTACAGCTAATATTGTATTTAATAGTGAAAGATTAAACACATTCCCCCTAAGGCAAGACTGTCAGGTCTCAACACCTTTATCCATGATTGTACTGAAAGCCCTAGACAGTGCAATAAAGCAAGAAAAAGAAATAAAAAAGTGTACAGATTGGGAAGAAGTAAGAACACTATTCTCAGGTGATGGGATTGTCTATGAAGAAAATTCTAAGGAATATACAGAAAAAGGTTGTTAGAACTAACAATAAATTTAGCAAAGTGAAATCTGTATTTTTACATATTAGCAAGAAACACTTGGAAATGAAAGTAATAAAATAATGCCATTTATAACAGAACAAATTGAACACAGATGTTCTAGACTGTACACTGAAAATCATAAAACCTTGCTGAGAGAAACTAAAGGAAACCTGAATAAATGGATGAATATACCATACTTCAAGGTCAATATTGTTAAGATGTTCATTTATAGATCTAATGCAATCCTAATGAAAATCAGAGTGAACTTTTTTTTGGTGGAAATGTATAAGCTGCTTCTGAATTTTATATGGCAGTGCAAAGGACTCAGAAGAGTAAAAATGATTTTGAAAAAAAAAAAGAAATGATTGTAGCAGTTACACTGCTTATTTCAAGACTTACTATAAAGATACAACAATAAAATAAGCATGGTATTGGCCAAAGAAAGACATATAGATCAACAAAATGGAATAGAAAACCTGGAAAAAAGACATACACATATGCAGCCAACTGATTTTTGACAAAAGTGCCATGGAAATTAAATTGGAAAAAAATAGAGACTTTTCAAGAAGCGATCTTGGAATAACTAGATATTCATTTGGCAAATAATAACTTTTACTTTTAACTCATACTATATATAGATGTGAACTCAAAGTGATTATAGACTGAAAAATGAAAACTAAAAAACTTCTAGGAGAAAACATAGGAGTAGGAAACATTGGGGTAGGCAGATTTTTTAGAAAGAATTAAAAAAATCACAAACTATAAAAAGGTTAGAAAAATTGGACTTTATCAAAATTAAAATCTCCTGCTTTTCAAAAAAATACCACTAAGAAAATGAAAAGGCAAGTCACAGACTAGGAGAAAATATTCACAATACATATGTCTGAGAAAGGAGTTGTATCCAGAATGTAAGAAGAACTCTTACAACTCAATAGCAGGAAGTCAAAAAAGTCTAATTAAAAGATGGGATAAAAAGAAACGAAATTGAGCTATTTGTAATGAGGTGGATAGACCTAGAGTCTGTCATACAGAGTGAAGTAAGTCAGAAAGAGAAAGATAAATACCGTATGCTAACACATATATATGGAATTTAAGAAAAAAAATGTATCATGAAGAACCTAGGGGTAAGACAGGAATAAAGACACAGACCTACTAGAGAATGGACTTGAGGATATGGGGAGGGGGAAGGGTAGCTGTGACAAAGCGAGAGAGAGGCATAGACATATATACACTACCAAACGTAAGGTAGATAGCTAGTGGGAAGCAGCCTCATAGCACAGGGAGATCAGCTCGGTGCTTTGTGACCACCTAGAGGCGTGGGGTAGGCAGGGTGGGAGGGAGGGAGACGCAAGAGGGAAGAGATATGGGAACATACGTATATGTATAACTGATTCACTTTGTTATAAAGCAGAAACTAACACACCATTGTAAAGCAATTATACTCCAATAAAGATGTAAAAAAAAAAAAGAAAAAAAAAGATGGGAAAGATTTAAACAGACACTTCACAAAAGATTTGCAAGTGGCAATAAGCACATGAGAAGATGCTTGACATTACTAGTCATCAGATAACTACACATTAAAACCACAATGAGTTACCATTACTCATCTACTAGATGGGTACAATGAAAAAGAATGACAATACCAAGTGTTGGTAAGATTGTGAAGCAACTTGATCTCTCAAATATTGCTCATGGGAGTGTAAAATGGTTCAACCATTTTGGAAAACTATATGGGAATTTCTTATAAAGTTAAATATCTTCTTTCTATAATCCAGCAATCGCACTCCTAGGGATTACCAAAGAGAAACAAAAACTTTTGTTCACACAAGACTTGGACAAGAATATTCATAGCAGCTTTATCTTCAAAATAGCCCAAATCTGGAAACAAACCAAACACCTGTCAACAGGTGAGTAGATAAAACAAATTATAATACCTTCATACAATGGAATACAACTTGGCAATAAAAATTAACAGACCACTGGTACATACAGCAATGTGGATAGATCTCAAAAATGTTATGTCAGGACTTCCCTGGTGGTGCAGTGGTTAAGAATCCGCCTGCCAATGCAGGGGACACGGGTTTGAGCCCTGGCCTGGGAAGATCCCACATGCCGTGGAGCAACTAGCCCGTGCACCACAACTACTAAGCCTGCGCTCTAGAGCCTGCAAGCCACAACTACTGAAGCCCGCGCGCCTAGAGCCTGAGCTCCACAAGAGAAGCCACCGCAATGAGAAGCCCGCGCACCACAATGAAGAGTGGTCCCCACTCGCCACAGCTAGAGAAAGCCCACACGCAGCAATGAAGACCCAATGCAGCCAAAAATAAATAAATTAATTAAAAAAACAAAAACGTTATGTTGAGTGACAGAAGGTACAACAGATTACATACTATGTGATTCCATTCATATGAAACCCTAAAAGAGGCAAAAGTAATCTATGTGACAAGAGCAAGTGGGGCAGAGGGAAGGATGAATTACAGAGGGGGCACAAGAGAACTTTCAGTGGATGGAAATGTTCTGTGTCTTGACTGTAGCTGTGGTTATGGGCGTATGTGTCTGTCAAAAGTCACTGACCCACTACACTTAAATAAGTGCACATTATACTTCAGTAAAGTTGGTCTTAAAAAAGCAAAAACAATGAGGATAAGGATTATACCAGAACTTTGAACAATGTGCTTTGAGCACCATTTTGAATGTATTCTAATTTCACAGTCACATATATACATATAGGTGTTTACTTTCTTCCTGTGGAAAATAAACCTACTGAATGAGCTGAGTTGATTGGCTGAGTTTAAAACCCTTGATGAGCTTACGATATTATCCATACTTAGAGAGGCAGGAAACATTTTTATGAAATAAGGCAGAAGAAGCAGGGAGAAAAGAAGGCAACAGGCAACAGGGTTATTGATACTGATCCAAACACGAGGAACTATACTAGGAGAGTCGAATTATTCTGCAGGTATTCTGGTGAGAAGAAAAGACTGGAATATTTTAGATGCTCTGGCTTATTAATTTTCTTTTTAAAAAAATATTTATTTATTTATTTATTTTGGCTACACCAGGTCTTAGTTGCAGCATGTGGACTTCTTAGCTGCGGCATGCGGACTTTTAGTTGCGGCATGTGAACTCTTAGTTACAGCATGCACGCGGGATCTAGTTCCCCAACCAGGGATCAAACCCCTGCCACCTGCATTGGGAACACGGAGTCTTACCCACTGGACCACCAGGGAAGTCCCTGCTTATTAATTTTCTGATAATTTTTATTAAGATAACTGAAACCAGACTGGCAGAGTCCTTCCTGATTTTGTAGTAAGCTATTATGGACCATTTGGGATGCAAGGGGATGAGAGTGGAAAAGACTGGAGGGCATAAAGAAATGCTCTGGCTGTTGCCATGACTGCCTGCTTGCATATTCTGATGCTGGCTAGCTCCCTACTACTGTTCTTTTTTTTTTTTTATAAGTCAGCATAAAAAGTAGCCAGGTTACATTGACCACACTTTCTCCACAATGTGTACTTCTCAACCTTCAGTCATATTTAAACGGCAAAATGAATAAAGTACAAATCCAGATAACCCCTTTTCCCCTAGACTACGGTTTTATTGAAAGTGACTACTCCCCACAGATGAGAAGTTACAGGAAAGCCTGTCCTGTAAGGCACCTACCTCCGATGATGGCTGAGTTTCTGTTGACTCCATTTCTTATAGCTTGGCCTTGTCCTGGGTTATACGGAAAATCAGCACTGGCTGTAGAGGAAGAAATGAAAAGACATATATATCATTTATCCCAGATAATTTGATACCTAGTTTTTCATACAACCCTTCAACAGCCTGTTTTCCCAAATGAGATCTCCATTTCATCTAAACCCATTCTGCTGTTGTTTCCCACAAGAATCACAGCCACTTCAGTGTCTGCTGTTTGCCTTTGTACAAGTCCCAGATGAACAGCGTACCTCTTTGGGAGGAGTATTAACAAATCTTAGAACTACCTGAGCTGGCTTGCTTTGGTTCCACTGACAGACAAGTTTATGTATTAGAATACTTTTCCTTAAGTTTGGCTGAAATCTGCTTCCAACCCACTTTTATCCCTTTCATAACTGGTGGCACTGGATATACTCGCCAATGAGCTTTTTACAGCTTACAGCATTAGTTTAAAAAGTAATCATTAAAAAATATTTTTTAAAATTGAAGTATAGCTGATGTACAATATTATATAAGTTATAGGTGTACAATATAGTGATTCACAATTCTTAAAGGTTATACTCCATTACCTCTTGGCCCCCTACCCCTATCTTGCCCCTCTCCCCCTCCCTCTCCCCACTCGTAACCACTAGTTTGTTACCACTCTCTATCTGTGAGTCTGCTTCGTTTCTGTTATAGTCATTAGTTTGTTGTATTTTTTAGATTCCACATGTAAGTGATATCATGCAGTATTTGTCTTTCTCTGACTTATTTCACTTAGCATAATGCCCTCCAAGTCCATCCATGCTGTAAATGGCAAAATGTCATTCCTTTTTACGGCTGAGTAGTATTCCATTGTATATATAGGTACCACATCTTCTTAATCCATTCATCTGTTGATGGACAGTTAGGTTGCTTCCATATCTTGGCTATTGTAAATAATGCTGCCATAAATATTGGGGTGCATGTACCTTTTCAAATTAGTGTTTTTGTTTTAAAAAGTAATCATTTCTTTACATGAATATTTTACATGGCTCTAGTAAAACACTGTACACTTCAGGAATTTGTAAGAGGATAATATCTTATAAGTGTTGAGAAGAATATTAACTGCCTAATAAATTTTCTATTTCTCTCCCTATTTCAACAAGCCTTTGCAGAATGCCTACCACATGTCAGGCGCTATTTTAAGTGCTGGGGATATACAGTAAACAATAAAAAAGATGAAAATTGTTATTAATGAGAACTTCCCATGCCTCATTGAAGAGTTTGGTTTATATAGTCAAAATACTAATCTGAAGCATGGATGTGGTTTTAGTTACGACCCTGTTTATAGTGAACTGCCTGAAATTATGGGGCAGCTTCCATGTTGTAACTCACACACTCATAGGACACAGTAAGATTTGGTTATCAATACACATAATTCCCTGACGTCAACCCCCCTTCAAAGACTGAGAGCTGTTTTCCAAGGATAAAGGCTTGCACCTTCACTGCGCCTCTGGGGCGCAGTTTCTAGGTCTTTTGACATTGTATTTACCTTTCTCTGGACTCTATTTGGTCTACATCCTTCTAAAAAGTCAAAAGCTTCGGAGCTTGTAAGTGGCCTAGTTGGTATTAACACCCAGGTAGGGTTAATTCCAAAGTCAATAATCTTCCCTGTGCTGGCTTTCAAGGGCTAGGAAGACACAGACAGGTAAGCTGGTGAGGAAATGCCAGCTTTCAGACGGTTTAGCTTACGTAGGGCCTAAGGGAGGAAGAGCCTTTTCTTCGGGGATCGGGGAGACAGACTTGTTTTGTTTGGACACATTGAATCTGAGGTGCCTAGAGGATGTATGGCGATAAGGACTAGACATTCGGGTGAGTGGGTCATATCTCTCATCTCCTTTGGATAAACACAGAAATCTCCTGACCCTTAAACATCAATAATATAAATCTGCAAAATATATTTGGTAACAAAAAAATTACAGTGGCAATTTTGTCATTATTCTGTTTGGTATTCATGACACTACAAAACTCTTTGCTCTTCTGCTTCAGGTAACATGGATGGTGGCACACAGCGGAGTTCCCGCTCCGAAGAGAGCTTTGCGTCCTTGGCCACAAAACTGCAGAGAAACACAGATGCCTAGAGACTGACATCCTCTCTCTGGTTCTCTTGAAGTTATTGATACAAACATTAGTGGAAGGTATGGATGTGACCTGAGATGACCCGAGGAGAATAATAAGAGCTAGAAAAGAACATGAAAAATACCCCAGGATAGCCTCTGTTATAAAATCTGAACTCCTTAACATGGGGAGGAAGGCTTCCCTTGAGACGAATTTCTCTCCTGCCTCTTTCCTCATGGAACCACTTTTCCAACTCAACATTCTAGGCACACGGATTCCTGATGCTTGAGGGGGACGTGTCTTTGCTCATCCACACGGCACTCTCTGTCAGGACACCTGGTTCGCCCTTCTTCTCTTTGGGCTACTCTTCGTTGCGGTGCGCAGGCTTCTCATTGCGGTGACTTCTCTTGTCGCGGAGCACAGGCTCTAGGTGTGCGGGCTTCAGTAGTTATGGCACACGAGCTCAGTAGTTGTGGCTCATGGGCTCTAGAGCGCAGGCTCAGCAGTGTGGCACATGGGCTTAGCTGCTCTGCGGCATGTGGGATCTTCCTGGACCAGGGCTCGAACCCGTGTCCCCTGCACTGGCAGGCGGATCTTAACCACTGTGCCACCAGGGGAGTTCCAAAATAGACTTTAGATATTAAGTCTCAGGACCAGATTTGTGTCGCATAGGCAAAGACTGTATTCAATACACTTTTCTTCTGGGACCCAAATGACACTGTGGACAAAGAATGTCACCTGTCAAAGGATGTTGCTGCCATCGAGCCATCAGCCACGCCCACCCCCACAGTGCATCCTGAGGAGATTCAGGATGGAGCAAACAGGATACTGGCCCTAGATAGTTAAGGTGCCTATCAAAGAAATGATCTCCGTGAGGCCAGACTCTGGAATTTTCCCATACATAAAAAATTGCTAACTTCATTAACTTGAGATGTCTGGTTATTCTTTAATTAATAGTAATCCTTTGATGTACCAACTACTTGTTTTGGTTGCAAAAACTCCCATATATCCAGGCCCCTCCCTAACCTCTTCGGAGCTGTCCCTCAGAGCTATTTGAGAGTCTGTCTCCCGGGCTTAAGTCCTCAGTATGTCCACTGCATAAAACATAATTCTCAACTTTTTGGTTGTGCATGTTTTTTCTCACTTGACACGCTACATGATAACACTAAAGTGTGCTGCTATTCCAGCTCTGATCTAGTGGCTCCTGGAAGCGTGTTCCTGCTTGTTTCCCTTGCACACATCCTGTTTGTCTGGTCATCCCCTTTACGCGGACAGACCATGTCAGCCACAGATCAGCTCTCCTCCCCGCCTCCCACCAGCAGGGACAGGCAGACATGTTGCTGCAGGAACTGATGGTGGGGGATCCTTCTCCCGTGGACATGCCTGTTAAACAGCTTGGCTGACACTGCAGAGCCCACAGAGAAGGCACGTGCATCCCAGGCCCCCAAACACACTCGGACAGTTCCACACACAGACAGCCTCCCTGCCCATCATCTCTGTCTTCAACCTGGGAAGCAAGCTGAGAGCTCAGCGCTCGTGCACCTGCCCTTTCCCTTCCTCCAACTTCAGGTCGGGTAAAAAAAGGGAAGAACACACACACTCTGTAACAGCAGGCCCAGGGGCAGCTGTTCCTCCTAATCATACAGATATAGTAAGATGGTCAGAAATTAGGACAGGGTGAGTAAAAATACACCTCCTTACCCCCAAAGAATAGAAACCATGATGGTTTTATTCCACTTCTAAAGGCCTTTGCCTGCCCTTTGCTACATTCTAGGAAGACTTCATCAGGAAAGCAAAAGACAGTCTAATCCTTGCCTCTTCTGTCCGTGTGCCAGGCGGGGCGAGGGGGCGGCCCTCCTCGGGCAGCTAGCTCTGAGCCTACCCCGTACCTGCCGCCAGGTGAGGGACATTGCACAACAAAGACCCCCAATCGTCACGTACGTGATGGATGCGTGGTAAAGCTCTAAATTTTAGGACTACATGAAATTACTCATTACTTGGACTATACTTTCCTCACATATAAAACTCTCTGGGGCCCAGAAAAGCAAGTGTTTGCTCTGGTGGAATCAGCCTAGAAGCGTTTTCCTTCTACCATAGAGCACAAAAGGTAAACTGACATGAAATTCAAGTTTGGGGAGCAAGCTGTTTAGGAAATAATATTAATAGCACTTCCTACAAGTCAGGCGCTGTTTTAAGTCCTTTTCATGGATTAGCTCATTTCATCCTCCTGTGAACCTTGTGAGGTTGGTGTATTCATCCCATTTTGGAGGCTGAACACTTGGCTGAGGTCCCATGACCAAGAAGCAGTGGAGCCAGAAACTGGCTCCAGAAACCACTTGCAAGGCACGAAGCTGAAGTGCCTCTGATGAGGAAGAAGGGGTCTACACTGGCTTTATCGAGTCATCACCATCATTAAGGCGACCAACTGATTTAGCCCAGTTGTTTTCTCTGTGGTTGGTGGGCTGTCTGGGGAGGCCCACAGATGTCTAAAGGCTCCCGACTGCACTTGTCTGGCTTCAAAAGTGAGCATGTGAGGCATTTTACCTGACAAAGATAATTCCACATGATGATAGCATCAGCTGAGCAATGTGATAAACTAAGAACTCTGAACCAACATCGTAAGAAGAGAAACCCAATATTCCAGATACAATTCCCTATGGGCCCAAACGGCACAGAGAGAATGGTTATCACCATTAGGGTAACACTTGTGAAATCATGAACGGTGCTAACTGTGCTTTAAAACATTACTGTCAGATTATAATTTTGACTGCCTTTACAGAATGTGAAAAATTAAGAGAGGAAGCTTCAAGGCAGGTACTTAACTACAATAAGCTGATTTAAAAGATATTCATAAGAATGGAATATTAAAAAGAGATTTGAATTCTTTAGCCTTAAATTTCTTGCCTGTCTCATTGAGCAGATAGGGAGGAAAAGCAGTAGTAAAGCATTAAAAAAATATATAAGAG